GTAATTGTTACTATTTGGTATATAAAGAGGGTGGTGGTCACGAAATTTAGTGGAATGACCGCCTTAGGTTTTTACCTAAGTTACATTTTCAAAACATGACATTTTATTGTTTTCCGATGTGTATCGTATCAACTGAAATTACCAACAAAGACTCAATTATTTTTACATCCAAACTATCTTATTCTCAGTCTTCTGAATAACTGTCGGGAAATAATCCCGACTAAATACAATCTCTCCAGTTTCTCTTCTTTTTTATTATATTTATAATTAATATTATAGGTAACTATTTCACTCCGTTAAATATTAATCACTTTAATTTTATTGCCTATTCATAGTTTGCATTATATTGTTTTATTTTATCATTCTCCTTAATTTCATTAAAAATACAGAATTTAAGTTTGAAATACGCTAGTGCCTCGAATGTTGATCTCTTTTGAAACTTTATTTTATTCTCCGAAACTCACAACACTTTTTCTTCCTTTCAAATACAATAATTGACTACAACACTGAAAAAATGTTCGGCAAGAACTATTTGAACTGTAGTTAAAGACACATTCTCTGATTTTAAAAGGCCTTTGTTTCCTCGAATTCAAATTATGTTCTAATTTTTCATTTCATTAATATCCCCAAATAAATTTTTTGAAAAGTTTTCTTAAATATCAAAACATTTTACTTCGGTAAATATGTTCAAACAATTTGGGAAATTGTTAAACGTCATTTGGGGAAGAAGCTCCAAGGTATCCGGAAACAGTTCAACATAAATCAAATATTATTAATTGTATCGTGAAAGATGTAGTTTTATTATCCTTGTAGTATAATTTACGTATTTACTATTAATGTATGTTTCAGGTAAATAGAAATGTTTAGCTGAAAGGAGGGCCCAAATATGTAGTTCCACCCTCTTGTTTTAGGCTGAACATACCTAAGGTAACTAACAAGTAACAATTTAGAAGATTTAGTTACTTTTGCAAATTATTGGCCATGATTCTTGGTACATCGACTTCCCTACATTTTGCTTTCTCTTTCGTCTTTTGAACAGTTTTTTTAGTAGTTCTGACCCGGCTCTCTTATTCTTCTCTCACTTACCTCATCATCTCTCAGTCTTCTCTTCATTCCCTTTTGGCGTTCCGCTTCATCCCTGTCTTTCTTACATCTTTTGGAAGCTGTGCATTCCCCCTTTCCCCAGGAGACAGCGACGACGCAACGACACAGCTTTCTCATCGTTTTCAAGGATGCAATTGACCCCGCTCCGCCCCGCTGATTGAGGAATCAGCTTCCACGAAATGTCCCCGCGCGTGACAGTGCAGCGCGCGCCTCTCCGGTCCCAAAGGCACGACATTTTCCACTTCGTTTACGATAATGGTGGTCTCCGAACACATTCAATTTAACATACGATGATGCTGGAGAATGTACAGCAATTCTGTGGTGCTTCAAACACCCATTCAAATTTAGGCGAGCCCTAGAAATACAGAAGAGAGTTATGAGAATTTCGTATAGTTTATATGCTGCAGCAGTTTGGTACTTCAGCCACTCATTTCAATTATGTGCAGCTGGTGCGCCCTACAGATATGAACAGTGAAGATACCACAAACATCTTGTGCTATGCTCAGCATCCGGTGAATAATTTAAGGAGTATAAAAGATTGAATAGTTCTATCTATTCGCCTTATACATGGATGTAGACGGGGATTCCATTTACAATCATTATTAAATCCTCCTTTCAAGTTATCCATATAATGTAATGAATTGATGACGCATAACGGGTGTCATTTTTTGTAAATATTTTAAAAACAAAAGAGATAGAGGCTTCGACAAACAGCTTATCAAACAACCTCTTTTTGTTTTGAAAGAATTTTCAATTTTTCTAAATAGCAAGTAAAATCAAATATGTGAGCTAACTTTTTTTCAATTCTCAAAGTTTGAATTTATTGCGTTTTAGTATTTGTATATTCAGATAATATTTTTAATATAATTCAATAATATATTGCTAAAAGGGAAAAAAACGTGAAAAGGTGACAAAATAAACGTGAGTAGTGACTTCCCAGGGGGAAGAAATGGTTTATGAATAATATTTATATTGAAATATGAAGGAGAAACGTTCCTTTACATACAAGCGGTTGCCTTTTGTTAGCATCAATCAAACTCCAGAACTTTATTTCCAAATCTTCCAATTTTATTAGCATTTTGGTACACAATTTTATAACATAAGAAAAACGTGAAATGTTTGTAAGAAATATTGCATTACATATCTGCTTGTCCCCCGATAAACATGCTACACATTATAACTTGCATTTTATGAAGGAAACCAAACATATGATCGAAATAAAATTTACAATGGTTTTCTTGTCAATAATAACTTGTTTCTTGCATGCATGTTGAGATCTCACACAAGGTCAGGACAATATACGCAAGCTTAAGTTTCAAACCATGTCGATCTTAGCATGGCCCATAGTATGCAGTCGTAGTTGTTACAACGCAAGGTTTCCAAGGTCCGCAGCATGGACCCGAGCAGCATGCTCCACAGGAAGGACCACAGCAGCTAGAATTACAAACATAGTAATTACTACGATATTAAGTGGGATTGTGTATTGTCTGATGACAGTATAATGTGTACCAATCAATTAAAATATGTTAAGCTGCTATTCTAAAATTATTTTTCATCCAATGATAACTTACCTCATTTTTTATAATTGTTGTTTGTTTGTGAAGTTTTGAATTGCAAATAGATTGAAAATTTTGTTGTGTACCGGGTCCAAAATGGAGCGAATCCAACACGTCCGGTCTTCTGGAAGTGTTGAACGCAACTGAAGAATAAACTTTACGGTTGCTAAGTAATTTCACAAAATAAAAGACGATGTGTATAAAGGCACGTGTGCCAAACGTAAATAAAAATTAGTGTCGTTTTCACTTAGATACGAGAATCCAGAAGAGGTATTTTTGCAAAAATCTTTCAATAGATCTTTTGATCATAAACAAATTACTTAAAATATTCAAATATTTATTTAGAAAGATTCTGATTATATTTAGTTTAGGAATAAAGTGCGTCAAACAATTAACAATGTACAATTTATCTGAGAAACTTTGACTCAAATATAGCTCCTAACATAGTTCTTTCTTAACTTATTTCATAAAATTGTTTATAAACTCTACAACAAGAATTGGTTAATCCTTTAGAGTGAACAAATTGTAAGTATCATGTAAAAAACGTAAAATAAGAATAGTATGCCTGAATTGGTGTCCTTGATATAGAATAACAGAATTTTAAAACGCGAATCTCAACATTTTGTTCCTTAGCCATCCTCCCCCTGAAATTGTTTGATTATTTCTGTAACTCATCTTTGGCTTCAATTCCTTTAGGACCAGCATTTGTAAAGAGTCTGTTCAAATGAAGCTTTTTTCAGAAAAGCAAATATTTAAAAAAACGAAGAGACAAGATAATTATTTGTTCATAATTAGCCTCTTTTGAACATAATCACTAAGTACGGAAGAAAGTATTCAAGTACTCGAATGGGATGAGGGGAGAAATCTTTTCTTTGTAAGACATTTAAGGTAACATGTTTTAAATTTTGGATTTTACGTAACATGCTAAGATATAAATACTTTTCAGATTTTTACAAAATGCGCTCGGTATTGTTGACTTACAATGTTCTTAATAATTTCATAGTACTTTAGTAATATTTAAACACTATTTCTTAAAATTGCATTTTTAATTTACCATTCCTGATTCAATTTCTATTATTGTTCATTTTCTATGTACCGTGAATATTTGGTGAATCCTTCTAATAAATCTTCTTACAAAGTCGGGTGGAACCACAATCTTTCTTATGGTTTCGCAATGTATATTCCACAAGTAACTCAATTTTTTAAAAATATTTCCCTTTTTAAAAAATATTAATAGCACATTTTCATCCGATTACAAATCGGTGCTGTAACTTCCGAACACAAAGCAAGTGCACATATGACCAAGAATTTCTATGAATCATAATGTAGCATATATTTTTTAAAAATATAATGTAAAATATTTTTGTTAAAATATCAATTCTAGTGATATTTATCGCTTTTAGATGTTCCGAAAATTGATCGTAGATGTTTTTGAAATGTAACATTATTGAAGTGAAGGGTAGTCGCTTCCACGGAAACTTGAATGCTAATTTAGGAACCCATAACATCATCCTTCCTTAATGTTTGATATACTATAGATACACTTACTTGTATATTATTATGTAAAAGAGGAATCTGTAATAACGCAATCTCACTCTTGTAAATAATTCTCAGAAATTTATATTAATGTCCTCATGACGTGTCTAAAGTTTGATTGCAACAGTTGGAGGTATTGAATAATGTAAGAAAACTTCTTTGGTAAGACGTGCCAATCTGCTTATTCTTAACACGAAGGGAGTGATGTGTCAAATAAGATTAAGTGATGGGATTTATTTTATCCGAAAAAAATGTGTACATTTTAATTAAATATTGTAATTATAGCTTGTTTTTGATGCGGTTTATGTGATTTACAGAATGTTTTATAAAAATTATGTTCTGATTTGAATATTATCTTCCAGGCTGATAGATTGTGGTCCAGGGAAAATTATGACGCAGCTGGAATCAAACATTTAGAAGAACAATTTTCTCTTGATATTGACGTATCAGTCCGCAACACAATACACATATTGATGCCGGGCGTGAAAGCTTTCATTGTTTCATTATTTTATGATCTAATTATAATTTTAAGTACTAAATATTACGAGTAAGAGAATATGAAACCTTCTCGTAGTATATCATAACTACATATACAAATGGTATGCTCTCCAAAGTTGAATGTGAAATATTATTTATTTTATTTTTTTAACATACTTTTAAAAAAACATAGTGGTGTAAAAATGCAATGTTATACCCACATTGCCTTTAGATATAATTTAGGGGAATCGCAGTTCTTTTCACTATCTTAAAATTGTCTCGTAGCCGGAAATCTTGCTGTAATATCTTGTGAAAAAGAATGAAGTTTCAGTAAATATTAACACGGTCCGTAGAACGCAGTAGTTGTTGTGACGACTCTTGGTTTCCAGGGTCCACAGCACGGTCCGGAACAACAACAAGAACAGCAGGAATGGCAGCAGGAAGGCTTGCGGCACCTAGAATATTCAAATACATGTACTTTCGATCACGTTTCAGAATCGTGCCTTTATACTCTTATTAATTCTTTAGCGCGTACACTCTTTTTACTTTCGCTTTATATTATTTCATCGTGAAAATATAATCTCAGGGGCAGTTCCACATTTCATGTTATTTAATCTAACCTAAAGGGTTTTGGCTTCCTTGTGGGTATTTTCATTGCTACCAAACTTAAATATTTTTAATTCAAAATCGTAATTTATTTATGGTAGCACTTAAGATACCCTCAGGATGGCTGTAAAAAGTTATGCTTGATTAAAGATCTGTTATGTGACTATGCTTGAATTTCATTTTTTACTTCTGATAATATTGTAATATTGTACGCCATACAGATCTGAACATGAGCTTGTGAACAGTATCTCGGTAATAAGAAAACTACGCTGACTTACATTTTATTTGCCCCAGACCCAAAACATTACGCATTTTGGGGGGTTATTTCATAAAACCCCAGTATATTGTATTTTAATTCTTCAGTATTGTTTTCACAATAGCGTTTTGGATTTATTTTTCCAAGTATTGCTTCCAATCGCGTTACGATTGAGAAGTTAAAATTCTGTATTATCGTACCAGTTTAAAGAATAAAGAAAATATTTTGGGTTAAATCCCTCTATGCCTTCAAGTGTTATTTCTAGTGTAAATGAATGTCTTATGACATATTCTATTCAAGAAGAAGATTCTATGGAAGAAAACAACCCATAGACAATAGAGACGAGACAACTTTAAGAATACGGACAGAAGATTATGCTCACTCAAACTCTCTAAATAATCCTTTTTAGAAATTAGAAGGTTAATTCTTTATTAATATATTTCTCGCTTCTACAGATGAGAAGTTTTGGTCTGGTTTTAGTGTGTATCTGGATATTAAATGAAGATTATTTTATTTTTACGTAATGTTTCTATTCAAATATATATTTTGTATCAAGCAACAGCTACTCACCCCATATTGGCGTGGGTAGTCTTGTGGTACTTGCTAATTTAGAAATAAATTTTGCCGAAAGAGAAGGTGTAGAATAGTGCGTGCACTCGAGTTCGAGCCTTGATGAAGACTAAATGTTTATTTGTAACCACAGTGATTCTCGAGAAAGTAATATTGTTGTTAATAATTTCAAACGTTTGTATTTCGTTTGAATTCAACTCAATTTTCTTCGTAATAATCTTCGTAATAAACTACTTTATTATCGGTATACCGTACTAGAATGCTGAGTACAAAAAAATAACTTTCTTGTGGGGAGATTTGTAGTTGCTTGTTTCATGGGCATCACTGTTGAGGAAACGTTTTTAAACAAAATTAAAACAGCCAGAATATAATTTTACAGATATGTAGGCTACATAATTATTTTTTAATATTGAAATTGAGGATTATATTTGAAGATTACATTAGAGGATTACATTTTCTTGGAAATCATATCTCACAAAATAAGGAAAATCATGTTACAATAAGAGTATATCATGGAATTATTTTGAAAGCCTAGTGAAATAAGATGCACAATAAAAAAGTTTCGGCAATATTAAAGAATTATTACTTTGTCAAAGTTTACGTTAAATGCTCTAGTTCGTACGATAGACAAAACGTATTTCTCTTAATATTTATTTCTTGTAAACGAGTTTGATATATTATTCCAACATTTCAACCCAGTATTACCAGATTTCACGTATTTTCCTCTAAAATTTCCTAGAATTATCGGGAAGTAAATCATTTTCTACGCTGTTCACAGTCTCGGCGAGGTCTTTTCAAGTCTTAGTTTATATCTCATTTACGTATCAAATAATATTTAAACTTTCTCCATTTCCTAGTTTGGAGCTATTTAAATATTAATTGCGACGAAACCATTATACGGTGCTGGAATTATAAAGTAATTAAATAACAAAATTTTGGAAAAGAAACATCTTCCTCATTGAGTGCATTCCTATTTGCTCGAATTTTTTTTTGTGTTGAAAAAATCAGTAATTCAGAGCAGTTAAAAGAACGCGTCAACACAATTTTAATCTTAATTTGTAGGGTAGTAATTTCAATTTAATGTAAAACATTGAGATACAACAATTATTTTTCTTGCAAATGGGTGAAAAGGAAATATCTGCATTAATTTTATCCTGGGAATGTTGCCATTTTGAATACAAAGTTCATGGACGATAGGTATCTTACTCACCATACTTACATGGGTGGAACTCCAACAAATAAATTTCACTTTCATTCACTCATTTGAGAATAAAAATAAATTATTCTTAAAAAATTTTATTGTTAGAAAAGTCCGAAAACAGGCATACAAAAAAGTTATAAAAATATTTGTTGAATTGCCGGAAGAAAAATTTCTGATTGCATGTTAGTTATTGACAACATAATACCATCAATCTTGCTGTTTTGAATCTCAATTCATGTACAAGAGCACACAAATTACCGATCCAGTGGGTTGACAAAATCGGGTTGAAGTCGGAGCCAGTTCGGCAATTATTAAGGGTGGACATTAGCAGGGCCCATAATATGCCGTGGTGGTCGTAACAACACAAGGCTTCCAGGGTCCGCAGCAAGGGCCCGAGCAGCAAGCGCCACACGAGCCACACCCACCGCAACCGCAACCTCCGCCACAACTGAAAATTAATCACAATTAGCATTACCAGCTCTCATTAAATATAATTTTCATTTTAAAATGATGTACGATTCTTACCCCATGTCTGGTTTTTGGTATTATGTGGTTTTCCACTAAATAATTTGGAAATTAAGCCGAAAGAAACCGGGTGTCCGTCACCGGCTTGTGACAGCTTTACAAGTTATTTGGCAATGTTATTTGTTACCATGGATTTCAAGCGTTGAAAGTGACAAATAACATGACTATTGATTCTGTAACTATGGAAATATTTAAATAATTGAATGTTTCTAGATACGTGAAGAAAGTTCTAATTACGTATTTGTAATATTTGAATATTCATATAATTTTTGTGTTTTCAAGTCATCACAGAATATCAGGCATGAAAGTTTCTCCCGCTTATATTTCAGTGGGCAGATCTTCTAGCCAAGTACGCAAAAATTAGGATGAGTAATGTGATGACAAACACGGCAATTACTGTAGAAAGAAAATAAAAATTATTTCGCACAGTTCACTATTCATTGAAGGGCAAACTATAATAAAAGAACGAGATAATAGAAAAGATAATAGAAAACTTATTTATTAATTCTAATATAATTGTCAGGAGAAGTATTTTATTGATTAAATAATAAACATAGTTTTTAAGACTTTAAAAATAATTTTAAATGTATTGTATTACTGATTAGTAGTTACTGAAAATTGATGTGTTAACGAGCGTTAAAGGAATTACTATATCAATTCTATCACTTTATAAGGAAAATTTCCAATAAATATAATTATAATTATTATTGAAACATACATGTTATTTCTTGGTATCCTGTCAATGCACTCATAATGAAATCTTACTAGCCAATTTAACAGACAATTATTTGATCACCTTCAATGTGTTTATGAATGTTGAAAACAATAAGTCATTGCGGATTCGATGAAGACAAGGAACAGTTGCATGATCTGCCTTTCAATTCAACCGCTACTACCTTACATAATACTTTTTTGAACAACTTAAAACATCTCTAGACGTTTTCATTATCATTTATATAAAGTAAATATTTCACATAACGCGTCAAACGTTATAAAAGGAATATTGATGTTTTAATTAGAGACAACTTGACATGTCGCTGGAAAGAAATATTAAGGACTAGAAGAATCAGCTTCTTTTTGTAGCAAACTCGCACCCAGTGCCATCATGTAGTACGTAGCGCAGATGAGCGAGACAAATGTAAATAATAGTCTGTGAACGCGAAAACTGGAACAGAGAAATAAAACATCCCGGATGAGGAACACTGACACCCACAAAATGTCCCCTGCAAGCGTTTGCATCTGTTGTTGGTTTCTCGCGAACCCAGAGTCCGTCAGAGAACGCTCACAGCTTGGGATGTTGCCAGGCTCTTCCGAGTATTAATATTCACTGATGAGAGACACGGTGCAGTTGAGATGTTCGTTGCAATTGTAGTTGGATATTCCCAGAAGTCCTCAACTCTCAAATAAAAACTGGACGAGTGAATTTTTCATCAACTAAATCGGTAGAGAGAACATATTAGTGATGGTGAATGTAGTTATCGTTTATACTAATTATACCACAACCGAAACATTCCAGCAAAATGTTCAGACATTCGATTATTTAAAATACGCAGGGATAAAGATTGCTTTGTTAACATTTTCGGAGAAAACGTTTGTGTGTGCATAAACGACATTTTATAAACAAGACAACTTACCACCGTTTGCCCTGATTCTTGCATTTGCTGATTTGTGCGATTAATGCGAGACCACCCGTGCAAAACGGATCCAAGAAACATTTTTTTTGAATGATCTAGAGTATTAATCATTTATTGAAATCAATTTTTTTAATTTTCTAATTATTTTCAAAATTAAATACTCTATAGACAGTATTGAGAAATGTATTTTTAATTTTATATTATTTCTTAATAATGTCAAAAAAGAAAACATTATATTGAATTAGATATTTTAATCAATGTAAACAATACAGTAAAAACGATTAACTCAAATACTGAATATTGTGAAACGTAACAAATCTGACTTTCTGCGGTTCAATTAACAGACTGTCTCTATTTTGCTCTCACCATATCACTTAGCTCAATGCTAAGACGCATCGTATTTCAATATATAATTTTGGCGAGAAAATAACTAAATTACACTCGTGGAATTTTATGTAGTGGAATTAATAAAACATTAATGTTGACAAATGAAGAAAATATTGGCATAAAAATGTTTAATTCAAATACAAACTGAATTTGCAACGAGCAATGTAAGAATAGTGTTTCGATCATATATTAATATTTACCTATCACTTGTAATACTAGAAAGTTACTTATTTACTATTCGCAAATCATAATTTGACTCAGAACTTAGAACTTGATCTCAGAACTTAAGCACTGATGCACACCCACTCACAGCAGAGATGCACCCCTCTTCATAGAGCCTTTTTGAGGAATAACAACGAAGCAAAAAAGGAGTCTTTATTCGCCGACAAATAAGGTAGTTCAATTTTTATGTATCTATTTGGATATTTTTCACTGGAATTCCTAAATAGAATGAAGTTGTAACAGCGTGATTATGGTTACGTCAGTTATCTGAATATTTAGAAAGGAGAGCATGGTTTCTTGTTGCAACTGATCAAAGATAAACATCTCACAAGATAATAGCATGAAAGTATCTGAGATTCTGAGAGATGACAGTAGTGCATTCGGTAATGAAACAATCATTTCATCTATATGATTAAAATAACTTCTGCTAAAGATATCAACATTTCTGTTAAAGATATCGAAATTTTTGTTTAAGATTTCAAAATTTGGTTGCTTGGCATTCGATAAGCGATGAGTGCACACGAAAAAATTCTTGATTAGTTTCCAACTCATTCGCTTTGGGAGTATTTTAGCGAAAGTTGGCTGGTTATATAACGAAGGTATATCTAGTATTGCACATCAATTCGGATGTATCTGGTAGGATCACCCGTTTAGCAGAAATTGATATGTTTCTCTAATAAACGCGCTTCGACGCATTCTACCAAAAATTCACAGTACGATAGATAAATTTGTGTTTCCGCGCGCGGCAACTGCTAAGATCATTAGACCCGTAAGTATAGTGCATGCTTTTATCGCGGGAGAAGCGGTAATCTTCGCTGTCGGATGGCGAAATAGGCGCCGACTTATTCGTCGGCTTGCAGGTTTTTCCTCAACCAGGTAGGACATGGAAGAAGAAGGAAAGATCGCACGTGGTCCGTGGCTGGTTTGTTCAGGAGACTGCTCCGGCATTCGCCTAGATCGGATAAACCACATTTAACTACTGATCCCAGCATCTGGCCGCTAGAATTATCTTTCAGACAGTGACTGAATTCGGCCTAGCTGTGTAACTAGTTCATCATTCGAAACAGGCCTCAAAAGCTATTGATCTAATCAATAGATCTTTTAACCGGAATATATCGTATTATAGTAGTAGAGACAACGACGGAGCATTACAAAAATCTCACCCGAGGCGTGCGCGAATTGAAATGTTCCCGCTTGGCGCGCGCCACGCTGGTGGCGCTTTAGTGGGCGTTGGCAGCTGCGTTCACCTCGTCGCCACGAGATGCCAGCACTAGCGCCTCTAGTGCCGTCAGCTTTGTTTGTGACCCTCTGCTCCCGGATACTGTCGCACATAGCATTTAACTCCGAATTTTGGAGTTTTGAACTTCAGAGCATAATCATTCGAATAACAATAGATGTTGTGACTTTACTCAAATGCGCGAAATCAATGTGAAACTCTTTCCAGATTGTTTGGAAAACTAAATTATAGTTTGGCAGAATTGAAATCTAGTATTCTCTTTCTTCATCTGTATGAAATAAAATACATGTTGTTTGATAAAATTCTTATGACTTATATATATTTATTTATTTATGTATATGATATTACGATATTTTTTAAATAATTATATAATTCTAACAAATATTTAAATCAATTTGGGGTGTGGGGTGTGGAGCGAGAGGTCTGGAGAAGCAGGAGGCCGTGCCAAGTGGGTGCCTGGCGAGTAGGGAGATCAATCGGGAGAAGAAGAGTTGGGATACGATAAGGTGTAGGTAAGAGCTGAACAAGTTGGTGTGTAAGAAGTTAGGTTGGGCACGGTATAATGTGAGGTTAGGAATGAGATGGGGTGGGCGGTAGAGAGAATTGTTGGGCGACGTGAGTGAAGGAAGAAGAGGGTGTATGGTGATGGGAAGACACGCGAGCTGGACTTTGGGTCAGATCAAGTGTAGGGTGGGCGGGACAGGCTATGCGGATCGTCGCCGGGAGAGGTTGGTGTGAGATGGGCCAAGATCTCGGTCGAAGACGGTATCGAGCGAAGTGCGTAGGTTGAGTGTTGAGCCGCTGGGGGTCTGGCGAGGAGTGTGCCTTGCGAGGTGGGTACCGGGCCACATTGTGTGGCGTTTGGGGCGAGGTTGGGTGTCGTCTAGGACGAGGTAACGGATTGGTGAGAGACCGGGAGAAGTGGCTCAGGGACTGATGTCACTGCAGTGCCTTTGCCTGGTAAGTCCTAGGTTTGAGTCCCGACGGTGAGAGGAAATGTCGACACTAGCTAGATAGCTAAGTCGTATTCAGTCGCTATCTGAAGGAGAATTCTAGCGACTGGCGCTCAGATCGGTAGTTTTCCATGTTTTTTCCGATCAACATCAGGCGAATGCTGGAGTGGTACCCTTAAAAATGGAACATGGACCGCGCATGATCTTTCCTTCCTATTCCTTCTTCGATCCTCGCCTCTTACACAAACTTACACGCGCTACACTCCCACACATGTCGGGAGACCGGTGGCGATCTTAAAGCATGTCCCGGGTGAGGCAGTGCCACGCTGGTGAGAGATATCTGGTTGCGGAAAACGCACTAGCCGTCAGGTACGTCAGCACCGGACCTCATCATCCCACGGGTGAAGATCACCGCCACCTCCTGAGGGAACTATTACGGAACTATTGACCTTATCAGTTAACGTGCCCGGAATCACCGTTAATCAATGAGCCACGTGGGTGGCGGGGCGGGGTGCCAAGAGGGTCGGCAAGCGGGGTCGAAAAGTGCAGTTCTGCCGGGAGGCACGTGACCGCGGGTGGGGGAGGTGGAGAGTGAGGGGGGTGTCGACGTGCACCTGATGGAGCCAGCGAAAGTCCGGGGCCTCCGAGGCCCATTGTGTGGAGATGCAGCCCTCACCGTTACACGCAACGCTGTCCAGCATGTGGGTGCCTGCCCCTGCCACGCAGCTTGCGCCACCTGACCCGCCCGCCCCCGCTGCACTGCTTGCGTCAGGGGAAGTGCGTTGGGATAGAAACGAGTGTTGCCAGTATTCTCTTTGGAGATCAGTAATTGAATGAATCATTACCTCATATTTCAGCACGAGTGATTCTTAATATGAGTATCCTCTCAAGGTTTTAGGAACCCCTCCTCAAGTGTTAATATGTAACTTTTTTATGCGTGTGTGAGCGTTTAGAAAACAAATGATGACAACTATATGAACAGTAATAATTCATTCAAAAATGTTGTATTTGAAAGTTTTCAAAAATACTAAAGACGCTAGTGCATTTAAGAATTCTCATTATTCTTCCTTTTGAAATCATCAAGTCAGATCGTAAATAACTTCTTAGTTTTACTTCTATGAGTGTGATTCTCACTATCCGTCACCTTTCGCGATGCTTTCGTTCTTGATTGCTCAGCTGTGTGTAATTTATTTCTTCTAAATCTTTATTCTAATCCTTTCTTCCATGCGCGCGCGCGTGATAGAAAGAATTAGAACACACACACAAACACATACACACAACAACATCAACAACAACAACAACAATGTTTCTCTCACTTATTATTCTCTCTCTTTCTTTCACTCTCTCTTTTCTCTTTCTTTCTCTCTCTCTCTCTTACTTCTCATTGTCTCTCTTTCTATCTCTCTCTCCTCTTTCCCTCTTTCTCTTACTTCTCTCACTCTTCTAGTTCTCTCCCTCACTCTTTGTTTTTTTCCTCTCATTCTATCTCCTCCACTTCTTCGTCGCTTGTCTTGTTCTCTGTTCCTCGGAGACGCCGCTGTAATGGCTGGCACCCGCGGCCCGCGGGCTGAGCGCGTGGTGTCGCAACGCAGCGTGCGGACCGGGCTTAAGCGAGCGTGAAATGAAGCCAAATCGACTCACGAAAATCGATCTCGCGTGCTAATGGGGCTTCGGTGCGAGGAGGTGGAGCGACTCCCGGAACGAGCTGCTGCCCGACCATTACGGAAGGACTCGACCGAGGAAGCGATAGTTAGCAGCCTTTATCTCTGGTTGGGAAGGTACATGTCGCTAAAGGCGTGTTGGTTTCTGTATCGGTCAAACTCACAAGCCGATGCACATCCTTGGTTGTTGCGACATTAGGTGACAGTAAAATTGTTTCTGCATGCTGTCCGTTTACTTAGAACAGTCTGAGAGGCAATGGTAGCTTCGGAAAAATAATATTTTTCCGAGTATTTCAGTAAATTTATTTGTAACTTGTACTAAATTTATGTACTTTTAATTTTTATTTTTATTCATAGTTAATTTGAAAATATAACATTAAAATTATATTTTTATGAATCTTTCTACAAGTACTCCTTTTTCTACTGACTGTAGTTGACATTTAAACTTGGAGCCGTTTAAAACATTAAATCAATAAAATATATTTTTATAATTGAAATAGTTTTTAATCCTTGTACATCTTCATGACGACGCCATGGCTTTCTTGATGCAGGCCTGGGCTGTCTTTGAGATGATCTACGTCCATGACCCTGGAGCAGGTAGAACTCTCTTCCATGTGGATGCACTGCAAGGCATTGGCTGCTCCAGGGGGGGGGTCCATATATTCCCAAGTAACATGCCTTTTACACAAACTGACGTGCTTGAAAAAATATTAAAAATATTCGGTTTTGGTGGGACGGAACCAAATACATGAACGTAATAAAACCTGATTGCTTTTTTTCTGAAATATAGCTCATATTGAGTTTTTACCTGACTAATTCGAAAGGAGGTTTTTATTTTTCTATTTGGCCACCTCTTTAAACTTGCTACCTAACTTTTCTGTACACTCTTTATCACTTGCATTTTTAGATTATTTTGTTTCAACTTTTCAACTCTGAATATACATTTTTTTAGAGTAACTATCCTACCTGTTTCATGTTTTTTTCATTCTCAGGGTTTCTTCTGCTGTAATTTAATTTGTCACAAAATATGTCTCTTTGCTTTTATGCTTGTTAATAAGCTAGTAACAGAACGAATCAGACGAGATTCATTCCTTAACTGACAGGGACATTATGATTGACAAATGGTGCTGTCAAAGTGACGAGGACAACTAAAGTAGTTCAATGAAAGAAGGTCTGCTAAAGGCCCTGAGAAAATGTGGGTCGTATCACAGAAGTTTGTAATTTGGGAAATATAGTTTAAATTAATTAAACAAATTATAATCGAATTACGTTTAACAATATGAATATAATTTAGGTAAAGAAACATTTGTGGAAAACTGTGTAGATTATACTTGAACACTCAATATAATTTTTGTACTTTTTGCTTCCACAATTGTTTATCTCTATATTTTTGCCTGGATAAAGACTACTAAAATATAAGTTTTAATTAAAAATTAGATTACCTTCTAGCGAATTCCATCGAATATCTGAATATCCTGCTTTATTAAAAAAGCGATCAACTAATTGACTAAATATGAGTAATGAAATGCTCATCTTCAAATGTTCCTACAGTTTCATTTTTGAAAACTTTGCAATCGATATTCGCGTGCGTCTTTATCTGAAAAGAAAAAGGTATGCAAAAAACTACAGAACATTTCAATGTTTTAAAAGTTTAACGAATACGTTCTGCAGACACAAAAAAACTACTAAAATATATGTATGAATAATTATTTAAATGATAAGGAATCACTATTATATACATATAGTTTTACATTTTTCGATGTCACATTGTAGAGTTCCGGTACAATATAAAGTGTCTACTGTCAATTGATTTTTCCTCTGCCGTAATTTTAAACAAAAGAGTTGCTTCTACGATTAAGCTGTCTGCGATGAGATGATCTTGTCCGCAAACAAAAATATTCCTCAAAAATGTTCCTTGACCACTTAATTCGCAGACCTTACAATTTGTAACGATTTGATACTGACGTACCAGACGTACCTATTGACGGCCTGCATTTTGGCTGTTGCAGACTTCCTGGGGGAAGGGGCTGGGGTCGACCAGCTCCGGTACCGGCACTTCCGGTTACTCCAGTGCCAGCAAGACGTCCGACAGCGGCGGGTCGACGGCCTCACAGGTGAGCCCGCGGTGCCACTCGGCCACTCATCCTCACACAAATCCTCAGCCAATCCAATCCCCCAGACTCACATGTTGATTATTTTGAAAGCTTACCCGGTAACCAGGATTGAAATTTTAATTCATGAATTTTCATAATTTTGAATTTGAAAAATATTTTTTGAATTATGTTAGATTCAGAGGGAAACGTATTATCTGTTAGTACGAGTATGTCATTTTCCTCAAATACAGTGCACCTTCTTTGAATAAATAGGACAATGTGTAGTATATTGCCTCCCTAATACAAATTTCAAATAATTTCTGGGAGGTAATGGTTCAATTCTTTTTTATTTATTTTTATTTCATGTTAGTGAATATTTAATTAAGTAATTAAGTAAGAAATATTTAATTAAGTTTTGCAATACTTTCTTGACTCTTTGAGTATCAATCTGTCTGTGAAATTTCAGTATTCAAAGTTTCAATTTCATCAATTCATAATTTACATTTTTATATGTCATTAAGTTTTTTGCATTTTTCGTTGATTTCGACTAATAGGTCATTTTTTATTTTTTCCATCATATTAAAGCATTTTTTGCTTATTACATCGACATTAAAAGATCAATTTTTGTGAAATGCTGATATTTATTGCTACTCTTACCACCCAATTCTTACGTCTAAAGATCCAGCAGGGAAAATACAAGCCCATTAATTCGTTTTGAAGTACATACATTTTATTTATAACTTAATTAAATTTATTTAAGTGAGCCTTGATAATATAGTAGCTCGCATTTTAATATGCTTTCCCTTAAAGGATTGTGATCTTTAAGGGGGATCTTCATGACCTAAAACATCACCAAATTGATCAATAAAATGCTCTTAAAATGTTTTTAAAATGCCCTAAAAGCAAAGAAAATGACGTAAAAAGTTGAATCAAAACCAGTTCAGATGAACAATTTATGCTGTTGGATGTGTTACTGATGTCGATCGCGTCTTCCTTTTCTTCAAGTGAACTCAGCTTGTAAATTTTTAGATGGACTGTTGTTTACCAGGAAAACTCCGACTTTTGTTTCCGTGAAATCGACCGAATCGGCGCTGATAGGCTTCACGGAAACCTTATATTATACTCAAACGGCTGACATTACAATTTCTGAGCGAAGAAATCGAATAGACAATTCGGGAAACTCTGGGGAACATTTGTTGCATTTCGTAAATATTTCAAGCAAGTGCTATTAAAATGGTATTAATGTCAATGTAACGACAACAAAATGCTTTAAAACGATGGAAGAATATGACCTATTAGACAAAATCAACGATAAATGCAAAACAAATGAATGTCTAATAAAAATGGAAATTATGAATTGATGAAAATGAAACTTTGAATATTGAAATTCGACAGACTGATACTCAGAGAGCTAAGAAAGTATTTCAACACTTAATTAAATATTTCTTACTTAATTACTTAATTAAATATTCACTAATCTTAAATAGAAATAAATAAAAAATTAACAATTGACTCCCAGAAATTATTTCAAATTTGGATTTGGGAGGCAGTCTACTACATATTGTCCTTTTTTTGCCACAACATAAAATTGCCCTAATGTCTGAACTAAAGGGCATTGTTCTGAAGTGAAAATAAAAAAAATTAATATTTCATTAAATTCCGCCCCCCCCTAGTAATCATATTTTCCGACTGGACACGATAACTCAGTTGAGATTACGCTTCGAGCAGAGCAGATACGGAGCGGGTGTTTCCAATCCCCGGCAGCCGCCTCCGGCCGGGTGTCGGTCGTGGCCGGGGGTCGATCTCGTGGCGCGGGCAGCGGCGCGTGCTCACTTGACCCTTCGACCCTGACCCGGGACACAGCGCAGCGTCGCGCCGCGCCGAGCCGGCTTTTGACAAAGGGCAATTCCGCGATATTGGACCCAATGACGCGCCCTACTTGGCGTCGGATTAGAGGTTAAGTGCGGGCTGTGTGCGCTATTTTTAGGCGCCCTAAAGCAGCCCTGGATTTGCCGGCGGGGGCGAGTGGGGAGGGTGCGTGAATTTAAAAGTTTTTATCTGAGTGTTCTCCTTGTCCAATGAACGCGTCGCCGGAAGATTGTGCTAATCGGTGGAAAACGGGTGGAATGAAGAGCGGGTCTGTTTGGCAGTGGCGAGTGCAATTAAAGAACGTCAAGGATCCCTCGTAAATTCATTGATTAACGCCAGCGCAAAAAGGTCCATTCAAGAGAAATCGCCATCTTAGCGCAGAGGTTTCATTCGCTGAGCTTGTGTAAATATTTTACGTTTCCCTACTCACAGTACTTTTATACTTACTTATACTCCTATAATCGACGAACGAAATGTTCAAATGTGGAACGAAAGGAAAATTTAATTATAAAATATTATTTCATTAGTTGCCTTGATTTGCTTAGATTACATATGTGCAATTTTGGATTTAACCATTTCTGTCGTGTTACATTAAATATCAAGTTACCTGGGTAATTTCTCTTGTTTATGATTGTTATCTCTAGAGATGAACAACCTGGTCCCAATTTAGCCTACGGTTCAGTATACAATGTATTTCAATATTTTCCGAATAATGCAATTTCCTGTACAAAAATTAAGAGATCAGTCGCTTATCTTAGGTTTTCTCAACCAAGTTTAAAATGCTCATACTTGGGAATATTCGTATCCAATATACTTAAAAATGTCTTACAATTAATTAAGGAAGACTTTCTGGGATTGAATGCCAACTCGTACAACCAGCGTGTGTGATTTGGGAGGCCTCAGTATTATAAGTTACGGACATTAACTGAAAAAATCGTGTCTATTGTAAAATACGACAGAAATTCTGCACAAGATGAGCAAATGTTAATTTAAAATTTTATTTTCTCAACCTACTACGTACTCACGTAATAAAGAGAAACTATTGTAATTCTGCGCACAAATCGGCGATATTTTGACAGGAAAAATACAGTTTAGTTTATCTCAGAGACAGTATTGCCCTAACAAACGACCATCAATACGCGAGCAATATTTCTTTCCTCTTTCTAGTCCTATCCTCTCCCCGAACACGAACACTCACACACTCACACACTCACACACTCACACACTCACACACTCACACACTCACACACTCACACACACACACACACACACTTACAAGCACTATCACACACGTCGGGAGACCAGTCTGTAACTTACTGCCTGCCTCAGTTAGGGTGATACCTCGACTTAGAAGATACCTGAAGGTGAAATATCTCTCAAGCCAGTGTATAGAAATTGTGGGGCCCTGGTATCAGAAGATTGGATAAATCTTGCTCCTGTCGTAGTAAATTACTTCTAACACGTTTTGTAGTCAGAATTCATGTTTTGTGAATCCTTGATATGAAAATTTGGTTGACGGCAAAACATCTGTGGTCGTCTGGCCGTGTGGTCAACGCCAGCGCGTCAACAGCTTGACGATTTTTTGCACAACTGATATTTCCCGATAGAGCTAGACAAATTTCAGGTGCTGTAAGTTAACGAATATTTTGATTTTGGGGGTTTATTTTCATAAAACTACAAAAACATTTTCAAAATCTTCGCAAAAATGGCTCTAAATATTTTTAATAAACTTTTTTTCTCGGATAGCACAGACGACGCTTTGAATATACAAATGACGCAACGCAAATGACAAGAGAGAGAGAGAGAGAGAGAGAGAGAGAGAGAGAGAGAGAGAGAGAGAGGGAGAAAGAGAGAATTTCTTTAATACAATTTTTCGAAAATTGGAATAGTTTTGGAACACTTTTACGTGAAATTTAGACAATTTTTAAACAATAATGTTCTCAAAAGTCTCAATTGTATTCTTTATTTCTTTCCTCAGAAACTGCGCTAAATTCCCATTTTCCATTTCTGTATTTTCCAAAATTGCAAAACATAACATTCAAAAATATTGATGACTGATTTATGGCAACTATATTGATGACAGAGAATTTGTACTGAAATATTTCATCCCGAGAGGTAGCAAAGTTCCTGCCTTTCTGTATGGCGAAATCAGGCGCCGACATACACGTCTTGCGGGAGAGGTTTCTCCTCCTGGTATCTCCACCAGCGAAGTACCACCCCGGCCTGCACAAGCTCTGAGCTCCCAACATATGTTGTTGTGTGGTGTGTGTGTAAGAGCAGAAGAGAGGACACGAAAGAGAAAGGAAAAATTCAGGAAAGACACGAAAGAGGAAGGCCGGATTCGGGCGCTGTATTTGGTCTGAATCCGGTCTGCTCTGGCGACAACCACCTGGTATTGATTGAAGGAACTGGGTGAAATAATTCCGATCAGAAGAGCCACAGATATTATTTAGTTCATTACAACTAATCGTTTTTCTTCCGTGTGTTCGCTTCTGACCGGAAGTTCGACCTAGGGTTCGACGCCCGACGGTGGTAGGATTTCTTACTCTATCTTCATAGCTAGGCTGGATTCATCCACAGTCAGGGGAATTCTAGCGACCGACTGTTCTGATTGGTAGTTTTCCGTGATTTCTCTGATCAGCACCAAGGAAGCCAGGGCAGTACACTTACAAACGGGCCATGGAACACGGGAATTTTTTCCTTCTCCTTCCTTATTCTGTCCTCACTCCCTTACTTACACACACTTACACTTGCATCCACTATACTTCCACCCATGTTGGGAGAGCAGTCAAGTACCCGGCTGGTGGGAGATTTCGGGATGGGGAAAACCCCCACAAGCCGACAAGTAGGTCGGCGCCAGATATCGCCATCCAGAGGGTAAGATCACCACCATCTTCCGCGTAAAACATGCACTACACGTACGGAACTAATAGCCTTAGCCATGACGCGCCCGGAATCGCTAATGAATCACTGAACCTTGGTGTGTTCGCAGTACGACAGCTACGGCAGCCGCCGCTACAGCAGCTCCGGGGCGTCGACGGGGTCGTCGGCCAGCAGCTACCGCCCTCCCCCCGTCAGCTACCGCTCGCCCTACACGAGCGGCGCGCGCGAGCGCTCCACGTCCCGCGACAAGTCGACGGCGGCGGCGCTCATCGACAAGTACGGCACCAAGGAGAGCGGCGGCACGGGCGGCAGCACGGGCGGCACGGGCGGCAGCAGCGAGCGGCTGTCGCTGCGAGACAAGTACAACGCTTACGGGACGTACCCGGGCCGCGACGCGTCCGCCTCCCGCGCCGGGGGCTACGGCGCGAAGAGCGCGGCCCAGCAGCAGGAGGAGGAAGAGGAGAAGGAGAGGGAGCGCGAGAGGGAGAGAGAGAGGGACAGGGACGTGTCGTCCGGGTACCGCTCACTGTCTAGGAGGACCAGCGTGAAGGACCGGGATCTCAGCCCGCCCGACCTCCCCAACGATAAGCTGTACGGCAGCAACAGTTCCCTCTCGTCGTATGGGAGGGACTCGTACTCGCGCCGCTATGGGCTCGGTTCCTCCTACAGGTGAGTCTGCACTACGCGACTGCGTTTGGATGGATTACTGCCATTGAAACCTAATTTTACTAACTGTATTAAAGTGACAGAAGCGTTATTTTTTATATAAAATGCATCACAATTTATTTTTCACGATGTGAGGCGGTTTTTAATTCGCGATCAAATCTTGATCATGAAAACACAAACAGCTTCTTTTATACAAAATCATTATGGCAGGATTGTCGACACTAGCTATACAGCTAGGTTGAATTCAGCCGCTGTCTGGGGGAGAATTCTAGAGCTCGGTTTATCTGATCACCCAACCATTTCTTCTTAACACCCTCCAGCATTTTATTTGCAACTAAAAACAAACGTTTTCAAAAAGAGAATTATTTTCCGGTGTTCCCAGAAAGATTCGCATCAAAATACACAAGTCATTGTTGGCGAAGCCCGTAGGTGCGTCTTTCTCTTACAATTATCTTGCGATTTCGTGTGTCCCACTGTTATATTCATTTTCCAACTACTTTTTACTCATTTTATTATTCTCAGATCTCGTGGTAGCTGATTTGCCAACGCCTAAAATTATGTGCTATGTTATTGATCAATACTAATTTTCTTTTGGATTTTCTAGTTTTTTTACTGTTTTTGGTGACAGTTACTATCTTTACTGTACTTTATTATCAGTTTGCATTTCATGCCTTGCTTTCTTATGATCTAACAACTAAAATTACTTATATGTCAGTTGATTCTGGAATCATGACATATCTGATTCATCTACAACGTTATTTCCTCCGTTTCTAGTAGTAGCAAGTTTTTTTATATTTCCTAGCGTCTTTGGTATTCTCTGCTTCACGCACGTATCTTCCATATTTCCAAGCTCTTCAGCTGGTGGGTGAGTTACGATCATACATTCAACGCATTGAATACAATGGTCCGGGTGCGGTTTAATAAATGAATCTCTGCCTACACCATGATTAAATGCGTTAAGGATTTCTGATCAATTTCTTGGTCATGTAATTCTAAATTCTCATTTTTCAACGATTGACTTCCAATGTCGCGTATCTGGTGAGAAGTTGTACTCGTATATAAATTACCAATCAAGTGATAGTGACGTGAAATATGACATTAAATTAACTAAATCTACGGCAACCAACATACAATTGAAATTGAACCGCACGCGATTTAAATTCATTAACTGGCCGCATTCCAAGAGATGGAAAGATAGTTACAATTTGTCTTATTTTTGTCAACATACTTCAAAAATGTCTTATTTCAAGTAAGATTTGGGTACGATTGTATTACATCTAAGCACATTTGTATTAAGAAAACTTTCTAATCTCAACTTCAACAAATACCAGATAATAAATATCCTATTTATTTTAGGAAAAGTTAATAAATAATTGCAAGAATTAATGTATGAGTTAATAAATAGTTTCATGGGCGAAATAATGGATAAATGAATTAGTCATTGAAATAATGAATGAATGGATAAAGAAAAGATAAATGAAAAGTGAATGCTTGGTGAATGTTTATATGATGTACATTAGTGTGCACGAGATAAGCAAGAAAACCATACTTCTGGGTTCCTGTGGGTCCACGATTTTTTACTAGGCTTTTTTACTAGGGAAACATGCTTCACGATTAATGAAATTATAACAATAATGCCAATAGAATGACAAAGAAATACAATTAACTGTATGTTTAACCATTTCCAAATTGTCATAAGTTTTGGAAAGCCTCTTTTCCAAATGTGTACCTGTGACCGAAATTGTCCGCTTAAAAATAAGAAAAAAATAATTTCCTATTTGCGGAAACCAAATGTTTTACTACGTAAGACTATGGGGGCATGAATAGTAATTTTCGGAGGGTCCATGATCCTCCCCTCGTGCGCATACCTATGGTGGTGATTAAATATTGTAAAAGTGAACCGATATAGAAAACAATCATGAAGTGAATGAGCTAATGAGAGTAAATGGGAGTGATTGATTTTGATTGACTGATTAATTCCGCGCACGTCAACTGTTAAGGTTATTATTCATATCATACGTGTAGAGCATGTTTTATCGCCAGGAGGTAGCGATCACGTCCCTCTGGTTAGTGAGATCCTGCACCGACCTATGTCGTCGGCTTGCAGGGATTTTTTACTCGGACCAGGTCACTCCCACCAGCATTGCACCGCCCCAGCCGGGTTAAACTCTAAGCTCGCGTCTGGCCTCCTAACCTGTGTGATAGTATAGTGCATATAAGTCTGGGTGTGTGTGTGTAAGTAAGATCGCGTGCACTCCCTCCCTCGAGTTTCAGGGTACTGTTCCGGCATTAGCCTGGTGTTGATGGGAGAAATCACAGAAAACTACCGATCAGAGCAACCGGCCGCTAGAATTCTCAGCCAGACAACGGCTAGATTCGTTACAGCTGATTAATTAGTGTGGAAAATATTGCTGCCCGCAGACGGGGCTTCAAGAGCTCCGGTCATAGGCATTGCAGTGATACCAATTGATTCTGAGTCATCCCTACTGTTACAATTTTCAAAATTAAAACGTCGATGTTAATAATTCATATCCCCCAAAACATCGACGATTTTAAATATCGATGTTTTAAAAACTGATTTAGTAACCTCTAACGTTAGAATTCGCAGGTTGGAGAATTCAATTTCAGAGCGGCCTTGTTTATTAATTTATTCTTATGATTTACCTGCCCAAGAAACTACAAAATAAGAACAATTAACAAAACTCTGAGCCTGAAAGCGTTATAGTTTGGTGCCATCTCAAGAGGTGAGCACTCCGTCAGATCCCCGTTGAAGGATGTGAAATAAAGGAGTGTCATCGCCAACTGTACATTCGTTGAACAATTCTTCGCGAGCTTTGATCTCCCTGCTGCAACAGTGCTCCTGGTTGGAGATTTCATGTTGAGAAAAACTCCATGAGTGGACGTGTAGGTCAGCGCCTGATCTGGTCATTCAGGCAGAGATACATTGCCACCTCCCGCGATAAAAACCATGCACTTCACGTACGGGACTAATTATTGATTAATGATTTCGGACGCGTCAGAAGCTAAGGCCATTAGTCTCGCAAGTGTAGAGCATGGGAGGTGTCGATGATATTCTCTCTCTAGATGATGATATCCAACGCGAACCTACCGTCGGCTAAGGGATTTTCCCCGACCACGTATCTGCTACCAACGGGGAAACCGCCTCAGCCAGGACAAACACTTCTGGCTTCTGAACGGTCTCGCAGCATGTGTAGTAGTGTATGTTAGTATAAGTGTGTGTAAGTACAGTGTGAGGATAGGACAAGGAAGAGAAAGGAAATATAGCGCGCGGTCCGTGACCCGTTTGATAGAGTGATACTCAGGTATTCACCTGGTATTGATCGTAGAAACCACTCAAAACTACCGATCAGAACATCAGGCCACTAGAATTCTCTTCCAGACAGCGACCGAATTCGATCTTGGTATTTAGTGTCGAAAAATCTTGCCACCGTTGGGATTAGAACGAAGAAGTTTCCAGTCACAAGCACTACAGTGAGTTGATACCCTGAACCACCTCTCCCGGTACGTGACTAATGACCTTGACAGTTGATGAGCCTGAAATCGCTAATCAGTGAATCAATCAATTAAAATATCATGTTTATTTTGCTACTTAGGAATACGTAGAATATTTACGATGGTAGCGTTTTCTATATTATTACTACAAATACACACAACATTATTATATTTACAAATTACGTAATACATTTTTACAAAATTAATGTAATTAATCCCATCAGATTAAAGTTGAGCTAATATAAAATAACAAAAATAATACCAAAAAAATTAATTGTATCATAGTCCCGAAAATGTACAATTTATTTAGTCTAATTTAAATTTTTTTGATATTCTGAGGGAAAGTCTCCAGCACGGTTGCAGGTAATTTGTTCGAATTTTGTATTGTTCTGTTTACAAACGAGAATTTACCTACATCTGTTCTCTGTTTTCTTTGCCTAATTTTTAAGCCATGTTCCTGCGGCGTGACGTATGTTGGTTTTCATAATCTTCTCTGCACTTCCCTTCACGGACGATCACCTCTTATTGATTTAAACACCGCACAAAGACGCGGTTTCTCTCTACGTTTTAAACATTAAACATAGTTGTTTAGAAAACGTTTAGAAACATTTGTTGGCGCCGTCGCATCACGAGTGTCGTGTTGCAGCCGCTCCAACAGCCGCGACGCAGGCGACTCGGGCTCGTCGGCGTCGTCCACGCCGGCCACGACGCCCGTGCAGATCCCAACGTCGCTGCGCTTCGGCAGCAGCACGCGCTACGGCACGTCGGTGCGCAGCCCGGCCTCCGAGAAGCCGCCCTCGGTGTTCGGCGGCGGCGGCGCGGGCGACCGCTACGGCCGCTACTCGCGCAGCTACAGCACCGAGGACAAGAAGCCGTCCGTCTCCGCGCTCACCTCGCCCACCTCCCCCGTCGCGCCGCCCACCGCCAACGCGCACTCCGCCCCCGACTTCACCAAGGCCAAGGCCAAGGCCAAAGACGACAAGGTAATGTGATTGCAACGCGCCCTTTAGTTGTTATTGTGTAGTGTTTAGGTTCGATGGGCAGGGGCCCGCGAGAAGCGCTGGTGCACTGGCACCGTTGGAATTTTAGAGTGGGATGGGGTTGTTCCAAGAGAGGTGTTCGGGTTGAAGTCCTCAAAGTTGTTTGAGTGAGTGAATGTGCGCACGTATATGCATTAGTTTTGTTGCGTGTATGCGAGAAAGGGCCGTTTTCATAGTCGTCTCTTATAACAAGGAAAACCTTAGGGAATTTCCATATAGCGTTTTTCAATTCGTAGTTACAACTTATCCGCGTACACAAGAAACTCTTTATAGCTAAAAGGAAGGTCCGGCCTTCACATATAACTATACGTAAACCGTCTCATAATGGGTTGAAAATAGTCGGCACTTGAAAGAAATGTCTTTTGTAGCATTTAGCTACATTTACGTGATCTGTAAAACCTTCAGTAAATGCACAACGTTCAAGAATATTTAAGAAAAGATCTCGTTTTATCAAGACGAAAATGCAAGTTTTGGGTTACGTTGGTGGCAAAAATCAGTTGCAACAAATAGACGTTTACCGATTTCCTTCTATTTAAGAAACTGTTTAAGATACTACCACTATTTAAGCAATTGTGTGGGTTAGGGTACCCCACGGATGCTCACGGACGCAAACATATGAGCAAATATATAGCTCAAGGCCAGCTTGATGGGACACTTCAGGCAGGATTCAAATGGCTTTGAAACAGCCCATGCGCTGTTACCAAACGATACGCTGCTGGAATCGTACTTATTTCTATGCGTATCGTCTATGAATACCAAATGCACGTATGCATTTCCTTATCAAAAGTAACTTCTTATAACTTAAGTATTTCCTTATCTTATAAGTGACAACTATGAATACGGCCCTAAATGTGTGAATGTTCGTGTCATTGAGTGCACGAGTGTTGTGATGTGATTTGAGTGTAATATGGAGTGTGCGTCATGGATCTATCGTGGTGTGTGGTATGTGTATGCTATGACTTAATAGCATATTTGGTGATGTAGTTTCAAACTTGTAGGGCGTTCAAACCCAATTTATCCCAAAGGAAATATATGGGCTGCGATCACCGCTTCTGCCTCAGCTCGCGCTGTCAGGGCTCGTTGTAGTGTCGCATGCGTACCGTCACCTCGCCCGTCCTCGTCCCCGGCTGCTTCTACTCAACCTAATCACTCTCGTCAGCATGGTCCCACTGCGCCCTGTACTACGCCACTTTCCTGCCGCCCTGTACATTTCCATTGATTTAATTGGGATTGAACGTCCTAAGGTTTGAAGTACGTTAACACATACTTGTACAGTCACACTCTCACACGCATACTGAATATTCACTCATACATACTCTCACTTAATGGTACGAACTTTTGCTTCGTACAGACACACACACTCGTATACACAGATATACATGCGCACATTCTAGCAATTTAGAGATGTTTTATAAGACAACAATACATAATTTTAACAGTCTATAATACTATTTTTTGGTTGCCTTTCAGAGAAAACCATGACGAGAATTACTTTAGTAATAGGTTATCATGCTTTAAATACTAGATTTGTGCACATTGAAGGCCAGAGATTTGAGTTCATGTTTCAGACTTGCACGTTTAAAACACATGTTGTACTCCGTGTAACATAGTATTGTATGAATACATCTTCTGTGTAAAAACATAGTCGTAATTAAAAATACGTGGAATTCTTAAATCAAATATACAATTTAAAAAAGATCAGTTGTTTGCACAATTTAAATGCACTCTATGCCCCTCTGCAAAATCTCTCGCATGTGGGATCCCGGCTCTTCCCACTTCAGGTCCACATCCGTACGAAAGGAAGATAGGCGAAAGGGAACTCCAGTTTTTACGAATCTTGTTTTCCTTTTTCATATAATGCATCAATGCCAGGCATGGTATCGTAGAGATCCTAAAAATTGTCTTCGATACTTAGATGACCACGTAGCGAGAGATTACAAAATTGCAACACACCCGTTGCATTCCCTGCCGGCAGGAGTCGTCATCCTCGAGCGAGGAGTCGTCGACGGAGGAGGACGAGGAGGCGGCGGAGACGAAGCCGGCCAAGATCTTCATGACCGTGGTGACGCGCGGCACGTCGCCCACGCCGCCGTCCACGTCGCCCTACCTGCGCAGCCGGCGCGCCGACCTGGCGCGCGTGCTGGAGAAGACGGTGGCCAAGCCCACGACGCGGCCCGACACGGCCGACAAGGAGGTGCAGTCGGACCGCGGCGACGACACGGCGCGCCACTCGCGCTACGGCGGCACCTCGCGCGCCTCGCCCTACCTCTCCGCCTACCTCGACAGGTACGCCCACACCCACACCCTGTTCCCTATTTCTGCACGTAGGAGTATGCAACCTGGTGACAGAACAAACATTACTGTTAACAAGATTAATACAAAATATAACTTAAAAATTATGTATGTATATTATATATTACAACAATTATAATATAAGTGTATATATGTTTGTGTATATATATGTATATATGTATGCGTGAATATGTATATATTATGTATATGTATATATATACACATATGTATATATGTATGTGTATATGTATATATAACAATATTGGGATTGGAACAGTACTTATAACTCAAGAACGTGTGAACCAATTTTAATTATCTCTGATTTGTTGGATTCATTTCTGCCCGGAATTGCAGAATAACTATTAAAATACCGAAAAAATTATCTAGATGGTGCCACAGAACAAAACTAAATATGCATGTCAACTGTAACACGCAACACACTCAGCAGGATTTTTTGTGAATCAATAGCATTAAATAACTCCTAAACGAAGCGTCCTATGATATTGAAAACTAAACATTTTGAGACCAAGGTCTCAAAGAAATGTTACTCACACCGTATTCTGTAGTGTGAGATCTTTTTGAACATTCTTTTACATTTTTACAGATGGAAGGTGGAAAGTGAGGGAGAGAGAGGAGAGATAAAGAGAGAGAGAGAGGGGGAGATAAAGGGTTGAACGTCTGCCGGATTCCGTTGCTTTTAAAATAATAATGATAATAATATCAATAATTGTTAATTATAACTATAAAATCAATAATAATAATAATAATAATAATAATAATAATAATAATAATAATAATAATAATAACAACAACTCTACCGTTAATGGCTATTATGTACAGATAAATACGAATATTTATTTCACGTCTCGTCATTGAAATTCAGTGTCTTCGTCAGGTTGAAAAATGTTATATCAGCATTCAAATAAATGTGAAAAGTGTTAATTTGTGAATAAAATTCTATTGTAATAAAATAACTTGTTGATTCAAAGTTTATAGTCAAATAAAAATTAAATGGGACGTCAGTCTAATTTCAAAATAGCTGCCATTTCATCGAAGTAACACCACTTGCCTAGTATAGAGAAACCTGTGGCAGCTTTTGCAAGGAAAAGCTGCGATTATTCGTCAGAAAAAAATAATTGTAGGTTCCTGCTTCCGAAAATGTGGATAATTATTTTCATATTCATTTGTAATATAAGTTGTAATGGACGTTTTCGTAGCACTAACATTAATTATTCCACGTTAATCCTGAGCTTCGCACGACAGTGCAACCTCAAAGATGTGATAAACGGCATACTTTACACCAGAGGTAACCTAACATCGAGGGTTCCAGCATTGGCCGGGTGCCTTTTTATGTCTACTAAAGACATTTGCAACAATCGTTTCAATAAAATTAATAACATTTTTTATTGCGTAGTGTGTTGCCTCTCAGTGAGTTTTTTCAGGTTAAAAATGTAATATTTGTAGTTTGCAAGATCATAATAAAAATATATTTTAAATATAATATAGATGGCCTGGATCCGGCATTGAAACTTGTAATGAAAAGAATCGATAAAAATACATTAAAAATTATGTTTTATTACAAAATTAGGCTTAGTTATCGGCGATATGATGAATCACGTCTTAACGATTATTTTTTATTTTAGAAAGTCAGTATATTAATTCAGGCCCTCGGTTGCTCATAGGTTAGCTGGCTCGCTTTCCACGGCGCAGCCCCGGGTTCGATATCCGGTCGGGCAAAAATTAATTATGCGATTTCCTTGCAATGTCCATGTATCTGTTGCTGTGTGACCATGAGAAAGCTCACATCGTTTCAATAAAAGTTGAGAATCTCAGCAATGCAGCGTAGGGATGGCTATGTGCCAACCACACGTCCAGGCCGCAAGACCTAAACACTGTAGTTCTTAGGTTGTAGGTCTTAGCTCGAAAAGAGCAGTTGTGCCAAAGTACATACATACATAGAACATTAATTAAGTTTTTCAGCACTGTAGCCTTGAAGCTTATCAAAAATGTTTTTCCATCCCCAAATACTGTTGAGTTTTGAAAATTATCTTAGAATATTCTAAAAAAATCTGGGAAACATGTTCAGTTATCCATATTGTAATTGTGGTTTATCGAAATGAAGACAAGTTATGTCGTACTATTTGATTTAAACTATTTAAAATATATTCAAAGTCACGCCTTGAATTCCACCAAAGATGAAATAACGTATATGTAAAGTGTATTAACTTTTCTGAGTTTTATTTCTAACAAAATAAACGATCCTTCCTTTTTGCAGGTACGGAGGAAGCTACACGTCGCCAGTGTCTCGATATGGATCGTACACATCGAGATATTCGTCTCGAGGCGATCGAGAGTCCTCAGTGGCCAGCAGCAAGCCGGAACCGGAACCCGCGAAACCGGAACCGGCGAAGACGGAGCCCGCAAAACCGGAACCGCAGAACGAACCTGCGAAGACGCAAACCTCGAGACCGGAACCTCCGAAAACCCTTTCGCTCAAAAAAACCGAAGAACCAAAGACAGAACCGACCAAAGTTACCACTACAGCGAATTCTAGTCCTCTGCCTAGTAAGGAGCTAAATAAAAGTACAAATAAATTTCCTGGCACGAAAGCCGAAACAGAGAAATCTACCAAAGAAGTTAGCAAACCGAAAGAAGAAACTCCAAAATTACCCAAAGTGCCAAGCAAAGTAGACATTGCACCTAAACCAGAAGTCTCTACAACTAAGTCATCTGTTCTCACAAAATCGGATTCAACAAAAAATGTCCCTAGCAGTCCCACAAACAAGTCACCGGCAGTTTCACGTTCCGATTCAATCAAGAACGTTCCAGGTAGCCCAGCGAACAAGTCTCCTGTTGTATCTCGATCGGACTCAGGAAAAATAACGCCAGAGAGTTCAGTTACCTCATCACCTTCAGTTTCACGGTCAGATTCGATTAAAAACGTTCCTGATAGCCCAGCCACTAAATCACCATCCGTGTCTCGTTCAGATTCCATTAAGAATCTTGCGGGTAGCCCAGCAAGTAAGTCTCCCTCGGTGTCCCGTTCAGAATCAGGCAAAAACGTAACAGACACCGCAGTAAAGAAATCGACCTCCAAGGCTGACTTATCGAAAACGCCACCGGAAAGTCCCGCCGCGAAGTCACCAAGTGTCTCGAGATCCGATTCAACCAAAAACCTTTCAGACACCGGCTCAACCAAATCCCCTATCGTCTCCAGATCCGACTCCATAAAGAACCTCTCGGAAAGCCCGAGCACCAAATCCCCCGTCGTGTCGCGATCGAACTCGTTCAACAAGAACGTCACCGGCAAACCACCAATCGGCAAACCCGACCCCACCCCGTCAACCGACGCCGCGTCGACTAGTCTCAAAACCAAACCCGCATCGTCGGAGACGTCCGTCACCAAAACACCCCCGCTGTCGCCGTCGCGTCCAAAAACGAAGGCGGACGCGGCGGAGACGCCGCGCGGCCCAAGCTGCCACTGACTGGCCGGTGCCGAAGCGCGGACGGGGTGTGAAGGGCCGGGTGGCGTCCACGCACGCGCTGGCGGGCAAGGTCCATGGCAACAAGGACTTCCGCAAAAGTCGCCGCTGAAACGGTGGGGAGATCGAGGCGGAGGCGAAGCGATGATATGGGGCGCGGGGCGGCGGCAGCGCGGGCGGCTCCTCGCTCAGCTCCAGCGACGCCGAGGCCGCCGCCGGCGACGCCGCCAAGGTCACCGCCGCCGAGAAGAGCGCCGCCGCGCTCAGGCTCAGCAAGTCGCTCTCCAAGCTCGCAGCCGCGCCCAACTTCCTCGAGGTGAGACACGGGATGGCCCTCTTCATATTATATGATACACAGGAGTGACTCTAAGAAGGGACCAGTTTGACAGGTCGGAAAAAATGAACTTCAAATGGGCGATGGCAGCGCAAGAGATAGGAATGAAACCGTTTAGGAATGATATAACTGTAAACGAACTCATTGGCGAATTGAGACCACGGACAGAACACGCATTTATGTTGCTAGCAGTAGCTGTCAAAACGGTCCCTTTTGATAAAAATCTCTCTACACGTGGCTGTCCAGGATGAGCCGCGTCATAGTCGGTCGCCCTGACGTTTCGGTCATCATGTTGTGGCCATCTACTGAGCTATACCGCCGCAGATATACACAAGCAGTGTATCTGAGAAGAAGGGCACAACATGATGGCCGAAACGACAGCTCGACCGACTGTGATGCGGATCATCCTCGACAGACAAGTCTCAAAAGACTCCGGCCGCGGAAGCCTACGACTCTGAATTAATATGCTCCCTTGAAATATGTTCTGAACGTTGCAGTTTAAATTCTCTATTAGTTTTTATATTTTGTAATGCATTTAATCTGTTTCATTCTGTATTAATATACACTTTTAGTTTGTTGGTTAATTTTATTAATGCAAATTCAATACATTAGTTGAATTTAATACATTACAGTGAGAAAAACTGGAGAATTAAATGAATGTAGCAGGTCCAAAGTTGAATTCTTGGATTTAACTTTATTTAAAAATTAATTTGATTACATTGAATTTGAATGTGGTCTTACTTTTTCGAGCTGATTTTGCGTTGTAATTTTATTAATAATTTCTGTTTTTTGCCAATAAACTTAATGTATGTTTAAATTCCCTGGCAAAAAGTGAAGAAGCCACCCAATATTTTTTTCCACTAAAACTTGTTATGTACGCGGCAATAAATTAAGTTGTAGTTTAGACATTTGATAGATTACTTGCACGCAGTTCTGTCCGCAAGAGATTTAATATAACTTACAGTTTCTTTAAAGAAATGATACGGTTGTAGTTGTTTGTGTATCATGCCCAAATGTATAGGTTTCTGGACAGGGTTTCCAAGAGACAGTGTCCGAAAAAAATCAAATTTTTGCCGAAATACAAAACTCATTTTACACGTACGTATTTAAATATTTTCTATCGTGAATAATGAGAATACAACTTCTTTTCTGCTAAACATGACTAATTTTATAATCCAAACGGTAGTGCTGTATACATCATTGTCATGTTCATTGATCACCAGGGATTGGTAGTTGTGTTATCCAGAACCGTATTCTGCGTATTACTAAGGAGTTTTACCAAACTAACGCGGTAAAACGTTTTGTATCGGCCTAGTCCGTGAAACTCAAATTTGCGGACGATTAAAGTTCATAAGTGGCTGCTTTAAGTGCTGGTACAAAGAAGAGTTCCTCATTGGAGTTCTTTCTGTCGTAGGTTCCCAAGTCCGCTTCCGGAAGCCCCAAGCGGCAAAGCCCAGTGCGCACCAAATCGCGGCGCGACCTCAAGAAGAGCCCGTCGCGCTCCCCGCGCCACTCCACCAGCGGCTCCGACGCCAGCGACAGCTCCAGCGACAGCTCCACCGAGACCTCCAGCACGGAGACGTCCTCCAGCGAGACGGAGACGTCCAGCGAGAGCGAGAGCGACGGCGACGCGCCCTCGACCACGGCGCAACCCGTGCGCCGGCGCCAACGCGGCGCCGGGGACGACCTCGCGCTCACGGCCGACAAGCCGCCACGCCCCCCCGGAGCCAACAAGGGGGCCGCGGCGGCGGCGAAGCAAGAGGAGGCCAAGTCCTTCCTGATGCGGGCGCTGGCGCCCGTCACCAGCTTCTTCAGCCGGCGCGGCGCCGAGGACTCGCCCGACGAGGCGCCGCCGGCGGTGACGCGCGCGCCCAGCAACCAGTCCCTGGGGCGCGCCTCGGACAGCTCCGGCGACGGGGAGAAGCCGCGCAAGCGCCGAATCAAGCGCATCGAGTCCGGGGAACGCGCGTGGTGGATGGACGACGGCGGGGAGGTGCCCGAGGGCGTCGCGCGCCTGCAGAGCAACAAGTCCATCGCGCGCCTGGCGGAGGCGGCCGCCGAGCTCAGGAAGAGCACGGACAGCGTGCCCGGGCTGCCGCGCACCGGCAGCAACGCGTCGCTGCGCTCCTCCGACAAGGAGGACGCCGCCCCCTCCGCCGGCAAGGCCATGCCCGAGGGCATCGCGCGCCTGCAGAGCAACAAGTCCATCGCCAAGCTGGCCGAGGTCGCCGCCGAACTGCAGAAGAGCGACAGCAAGGGAAAGTTCCGCATCAAGAAGGTGAGAGAAAATGTTTTTTTATACAATATATTTATATACATTTATAGTTTTTATACACATTATATTTTTCATAGAATATATTATTATATTTATATAATACAACGAAAGTGTACGATTTAGTTCACTCGGGAAATCATCAGTAAATACTGTATAGTTATTTTGCATTGTAATTATTTATGCGCCAAGGGCGTTTTAAGGATTCTAACGCTCGAGCAGTGACAAAACGCCCGAGAGCCTTGTTGGGCCCAAGCCCGTTTTGTCGCCCAAGATCCTTAGAACCATTTAACACCCGTGGTACATACATAATTTTACTTTTTGCCAAATTTTATTTACTCAGATTTACTTTATTTACGAAACAACTCGGTTTGTTTTTTCATATATCGCTCCCAGAATTCCCTCTATAAGAGAACATGAAGCATCATTCTACTGTTGTTTCTCTCGTAACCACGATCCCCTCTACCCAAGTAAGTTGTGCCGTATATATTGAGCTCCGTATCGAAGGAAATAACAAGCAATAACGTATCAGAAAATGATAAAATTTATTTACAATGAAGATGAAGCTTGCAATAAATCACACCGTAGTACTTTCCATGTATCTCTGAACTATAACAAAAAAGTAGTTAATATTAGAAAAACACGATGTAGCGATGTATAATTATCACTTGTAATACAGATGATATACTGAAATGATTCGATAGCTTTTACCAGCGACTCGCCTATACAATAATAATGTGCAATCTCAAATATTTTTTCTTCCAAAATCATATATTTACAAACTATTTTAGACAATGAGAAGAAAATCAAAATAATGATTGTTCAAAAATATCCAAGGATATTTTAATAAATTATGTTTTAAAATTCACTGGTGTTTTCTGTAAATTACGTTTTCTTACCTGTAAAAAACACTGGCTGCATTTTATGATGAAACATTTGCTGCATTTTTGACAACAGAATTGTGTTAATAGGTCGTTGGTCGGTTATAAATAAAATGTAATCGACTGTCAGTGTTTCGAAATAAACCATATTATTTTTAGAGTCCACATAAAACGAAGTAGTTGTGCTCTCATAGGACAATGGAATATCGTTTAACTTGGCATAATTATTCTAGGTTCATTATCCGTCTTCAATATCTTGAACTTATCTGATAATCAGATTTTTACAAGTTCAAAGGCATAAACATCCCTTTAAAGTCACTTCAAATATACAAAAAATCTCTTAGACTCATTTCGGAGTCATTTAAAAATACATTGCTTTTGATTTTTTCGTTTATGGCTTATTGAGTTCTGACATTGAACATTGCACTTGTTATATTCATTGTGTTTGTGCTGAAATATATTTAACCCTGACATGTCGTTCCTCTCTCGTTCTTAAATGATTTTAATTGGGATCGCACAGTAAAGTAAAACTAAATGTCAGTCAAGGCTGCGCAGGAATGCAGTACCACCCAAGCAGCAGGACCTCACAACGATACAAACAGTTGTGCTGATACATTTCAAAACCAATCGAACCAATACAATACTCCAGGATAACATTAACATCAAAGTGATCCAAGAATAACATCGCAGAAACTTAGGTTATACTTTCGTACTCGTACATTATCAACTTAAACACTGTGAGAACAAAATTCAGGTAAGTGATATTTTGCACAAAAATACAGATTAAATCCGTTTTCATTTGTGATTTTTTTTTACAAAAAAGAATCGTAAAACTGTCCTCTGCTGCGATACATTCAAGGACCTAACACTAACACTAATAGATTTATTTATGATGGTTATAAACATAGCATACTAATACGTGTGATGCAAATAATTGGAATTCACTATTAGTACGCTCGGATGATGGAAACATTTTTCGAAAGATCGCATAGCCAAAATCTGAAGTTCGTTTGGAACCAATGCTCATTCATCTCGAAATAATTAGAACCAGTGATCGTTTAAATCAAACCGAATGCATAAGCATATGAAGTACGAGTTCATAACTAGAGATTCTTAAACTTGCAGGTTCTCGGAATCTTGTCACTGCGGTGGCGAATTTTCTTCACCAAGTTGCAGGGTTAGGCACTGCCACGGACAGGATAGAAAATATGTAGTCCAGTAACTGCTCTGACAGGTTGTTCCTGTGATTTTCTCTGTTTTATTACTTATCTGATGTATTCAATTTAATCTAATTACTGACAAATGCCAGAGAAATTCCTTAAATAACGGGCCATGAGTGATTATTCTTCTCACTCTGCCACCTGCTTCCTTGCCAATCTTAGGGGATGATCGAATGATCCCCCAATTTATTTTCTTGCTCATTCCATTCAACCTAGAAAACGCTCCGACAGTATCGCCAGAAAGCAGTCGTCACACCAAACCCCACGTAGAGCCATACAAAGAATATGAGGTCATCAAAATGAAACTTGTGAATATTTTTTCATCCGAGAGCAGCTCGAGCCCGGCAAGCTCGCTTGGTGGCTGGTCATCAGCGCCATCATCCTCTCCATCCTTCGGGCGACGGCCTCATCCCCAATTCCCATACTCTCGACCCTCCTAACCTAAAAACTTTTGCAACAGGGTTGCCAATGCGTGAATGTCCACCCAAACCTTCGGAAGCTTGAGATATAGACTGTAAAAATTAACAGGTATCTGCTACGCGTATTCGACATCAGTGCGAGAAACGGTAGTCGGCTGTTCCGTTTACAGCCACCACCCCACGATTCCCTCGCTGCGATTGGCTGAATGAGTGATGTAACGCAATTATTCGTGCCATAAACGGCAACAGCATCATAACCTATGTCGTACAAATGTCATTTTATGAACAATTTCTTGTAACTTAAAACTATTATCATTAATTTTGTGAATTCCCTCGTTTGTAGATCGAGTCCGGCGAGCGCGCGTGGTGGATGGACAGCAGCGCCAACATCCCAGAGGGCGTGCAGCGAATCCTGAGCAGCAGCAGCCTGGCCGCCGCCAGCGCCGCGGGCAGCGCTGCCGGAAGCGCTGCTGGAAGCGCTGCGGGCAGCGCCGCCAGCTCCGACAGCGAGAAGAAGCCGCCGCGCATCCAGAAGGTCCGCAGCAGCCGCTCCGTCGCCAAGATGGCGGTGCAGCAGGCCGCCGCGGCCGCCGCCGCCGCCAACGGCGAGGCCGACGATCGGCCGTGCCTGTACCGCATCCGCCACGTGGAGTCCGGCGAGAAGGCCTGGTGGCTCAGCAGCTGCGGGGACATCCCCGAGGGCATCGTGCGACTCGAGACGTCCTCGTCCGAATCTTCCGACTCCGAGGCTGAGAAGAAGGATGCGCCGAAGGCCGCGGACGGACAGGTGATGGGAATTCAGTTCATCGCTTGAACGACGAAATATTGAAGGAAATGAGTGGATCGGTGGGACACATTGTCAGAGTAATAATCGAGATTTGTGAGATACAGGAGATTGAGTGCTGTTAACTATTCCAGTGGCTGTTGGTAACTTAAAAAGTTGGTGGTTCGCAAATGTTATTATGTATATTACATTTTCAGTTTGAACGTAAATAGTCACTAAAACGTTCCAATACTTTGTTAGACACCACAGTTTTGAAATGGCCAAGACCTCAGTTTTGAAATGAAGGTCACTCATTCCTGGTCGCTAGAATCGGAGTACGAAAACCATCTGATATTCATTCATCTGCCCCTTGATCTGACGATTCTGATACTTCCCCTAGGAATTTGAGCTGCATGTCTCTCAACTCTCCTTTTCCCCGCCCACAGCTAATGAATTGTCATCACTTCAGTTTATTCATTGTGGCTCGCCAGGTAGCAGCGCGGTGAAACTCACCGGTCCCTCTATACCAATGTGAATAATTCTCTCGTCTGATTTGTAGTTAATATAAAATAATTGGGATGCGATTGTGAAACACAAAAGTAATTACACAAACAAAACACATTTAAATTACATATAACACAATACGAAATATTTTGGTTGTAGCAAATAAAAATGCTGCAACTGGCACGAGCTGCTACTAATTTGTACCATGACCGAGCCGCCACTGACTGGTAGCGCCACTGATTTACACCTCTGTGTCGATGCTGGACATACGCTCTGCCGCGTACCAAGGACATGTCACTTGTCATATACCGACTCCTGCTTTTACCTGCATGTGTGTCATGTGTGTCGCTAATGCCAAAGAGAGAAGCAAATTTCGCCCAGAAGGATCTCGCTAATATATTCCTCCAAGCTCCCCTAGTATTCTTTATTCGAATCTTGATTCAAACAATACAAATGCACATTGAGCAAATGTACAAGTAAAAGTTTTGAGATGAACTGTTATATGAAATGTTTCACAAAGTAATTTAATAGGACAGAAACGTTGCAGAGTTTTCACACTGTATTCAGTAAGCAAATCAGTCAGTCACGGTTGGCCACACATCCTACGACGGTACAATCCTACGGTGTTAACAGAAAATATGTATTGTACAACAACAACAACAACGCGTGAACAGAGTGAATACTCTGAAATAGTTGTAGATTATTTAATTTCTTTGTAAAGAATTATTTCACACAAACAATTCTTTAGTGGAATTCCACTATATTTCTGCTGCCTCCAACAACGACATGATACTATTTACGAAGGGTAATACAGATGGAAGTCTCTTCAATCTTAATGATAGTGTTCGAGCTCAAAAATGATGAATATTTAGCACATCATCAGGGAAAGACAATCTGATAATATGCACTTTGAGGTTCTATTCATATTTTATCTCCACGTACATAACTCTCATATCTGGACCAAATACATCTGCATACTACCAAAAACGTCTCGTATTTGTTCGCAGAAATATTGAAACCATTTCAAAACGAATAATAAGTCCAACTTCGGGTTCAATTTTTTACAAAGAAATAAAGATTTAGAAGTAGTGGTCTCACGTTGGGCAGGAAAAATTAATAAGATTTTACTAGTGTGTTAGACTGTCATAAAAGAATATAATTAAAAAAAGAGGGTCCGAACACTATTTCCAGCTCCAATTATAAAAGATGTACTGTTATACAATTTTATCTCTGATTCATCTCAGATGGTCATTATTATGGAATCCAGTTCCGTGATAATGTGAAGTCAAGTGAAGTGTGTAGAAATCATCCCAGTGAAAACGATACGTATGAGAGAGATTAAATGTTTGCCATAAAATGCTTCTTGGCTTGTATGTAAATGGAAATTCATACCTTCGTCTAAATTTGTGTTTCGATGCTTTCTGTAATAATATACATTTTCGAACAGTTTCCTAAAATGTAACGAAGGTTTTCAGTTGGATAGAAGGGCATCTCTAGCTTCAATATATAGCTACAGAAAACGAGTTATTCTTTCAAATGTTCATTAAATTAGTCCGTGATTTTATTAACTTTCTTTCTTATGTGCCTTTACTGTGCCAGAAGTATAAACAACAATATTGGCTTTATATGCATATAAATATGACATAATAAATATGTCATTACATTTGTGAGTGTGATAAATATTATCAATTATCTATTACGGAAGTGTTAGAATATAGTTACATATTCAGTTCTTTCTACATTGAGGTCATGAAATGAGCGACTTTTTTAAACAATAAAAACTCTGTAAATGAATAGACACTCCACTGAAAAGATCTCACCTGTATGTACAGAAAAAACTCTGTAATGAAGCATTTCATTGGGTTTGCCAAAGCCAACAGTTTCCATATTAGTTCGCACATGTACGAGGTAAAAAAACTTTTTAACTAGGTTGAGAATTCATAATTTTTTCGATCGTCCCATTCATTCGTTGGAAACCCTGTGAACAAACACTACTTGTGATACAGCTTCACTTAGTCATCGGGTCCACGAGAGCCAAGTCTTTTTGTGCAGCGCCGCGGTTGTACGCGACGCGTTCCAGTGACAAACTAACGTGTTACTCACGCCGCTCGTTGCCTCTCGCGCAGGTGCCAAAATTCCCGCTGGTGCTGCCAGAGGGCCGGCGCGGATCGTCCGGGTCGGGCCGCAGTCGCAAGGCGTCGCAAGGCTCGGCATCGGGCCGCCAGTCGCCCTACGACAACGTCAGCGAGCTGCAGGACGGCAACAACGACAACAACGACAACGACGCCGACAAGGCCGGCAAGATGGTCCAGAAAAAGCCGCGCCCCAAGAACCTGCCGCTGTTCATCGGCAGTCATACCAACATTGACGACATCCTGGGCTCGGCCGCCACCACCGTGGAGCCGGCGATGGGCGTGGCCCGCCTCAAGAAGAAGCTGGAGGGCGGGGAGCCGTCGGACGACGGTGAGCTTCTGCGCATGCGCAAGCCGCTTTGCGTGCGATTCATTACTTTTTTGGGTCACTATTGCATGTTTTGTTTGCGACTCTGACCTGCTGGTAGAAAATTTGAAGGGGGGCGAGGGGGAAGAGTGTATTTCGAAGCAATTCTATAAAATCAAATCAGTATGCGTTTGCTGATACAAATTCGTGTTCTATAACATGAGGTGAAAACGTTCTGTTTTCAAATGTTGTCAGCCAAGCTCTTTGTATCTTTATTCACATTTCAACAATGCATAGTAAAAGAGGGGGAGTTAGGATATTTTTAAATTTAAAGCTTGCATTCTTTTGTCTCTTTTCCACTATCTTTCCACCCATCAAATTATTGTGATTGTTCTTCAAATTTTATCAACCATCGTCGAAATGCTTTTATATCTTCATGTGTTTAATATCAAGAAAGTTCTCAAATACAAGAATTTTTCCAACGTATGACCGCCCAAACCGTTATCTCCAAACCCTACGGAATTAGTGAATCTTACTCCAAGGACATCTTGTTATTCTGCTGTTACATCCAGTTAATATAGTGATGTAATAGCTATTATGAAGGCATCTGCAGACTGACAGGATCAGCGTCATATCGTGCATAAAATCGTAAATATATATTGTCCGGGAATTGTTTATAACTCATATATCTTTACATTATCAAATTTTCACAGTATTATATTTCCTGTTAGGTTACAAGTTAAACGTTATATGAAACAAACAAGTTCAAAATTAGTCTGCGATGGTTTATATCAATAACGTGTCTTTGTATTTACATCTTTACAGTGGACAAACTAGAATTAAAAAAAAAGAATGTTCAATTGGTATAAATCTTTTATTAAAACGTTTATCTGAAAAACGCATTTGAACTGGTACAGTTTAATATTACAATTATCGGCAATGTGACACATTGTTTCTCATTATGCGAAGTTTATAAACATCATTTTAGAAGGTCTTCTTCCTACTAACTGTAAATAATTCTATAAACCGGGTCATTGCCGGTAAACACCGAACAGTCGAGATTCGACCATAGCAGGAATGCTCATTTCCGTGCCACAGAATACAAAGCTCAGCGTCTGATTGAGTCAGTGAGAGCGCCGGCGAGTTGTCAATTCCATGTGCTAAATTAGCGAATATTTTGTGATATTATCATTTGTTATGGCCATTTCCGGTAGTTTCTTTACTTATTAATACTTAATATTTTGTATACATGGGAATTATATATTGACGAATTATCTACTCATCTAAAATATTTGAAATACATTTTTATTAATATTATGTTTGTTTATCGCTGCAACAATGGGTGACCAGACGTCTGGTCTTTGGTATGGATCTATAAGAAAATAATAGGAATGAATAATTAATTAGTTTCGTTGAGTGTATTCTCACTTGTGTCACATTCGCACATTTACATTTTGTTCCTTTCAACAATTATTACACTGTTGCGAACATTTCTGTTCTTCCTGAAACATTTCTCTTTTTTTCGTTGAAACTTTTTTGTGTTATTCTCGCAATAAGTTAAAGAACAATTTCTAAACAATCATCCCAAAATATCTGATAACTCATGGAAATTGTCCCCTTCTTTGAGATTTACGAATGAATAGAAATTAAACATTAAGGTGTCATGTAGCACCGCCCTAAATTTGAAACTTCTCTTCCGCAATGTCGGCTTCTCCTCATAAGAGTCACTTAGTGCAGAAGAATGATATTATTTCACCATAAAGAAGCTCACCTTTGTTGCGGCGACACCCCCTAAAAAAAGAAAAAAAGAAAAAAGAAACGTCTGCCACCCCTCACCCGAACAGAGACACAGCGCGCGGGGACAACAGGTGTCAAAATATTTGTAGGGCCCGCCTTGGGCCTTAGGCGCGGGCGGGGGACGTTTTTTTGTGGAAC